CTCTACAACTCTCGACACGCAAACAACTACTCTCCACCTCCTACGAACGCACGCCTTCGTCCCCCCCCCCCCCCAACCCAAAAAAAAAAATCAGAATACTTTTGCTTTTTGGTGTTTGTTTTGCTCAGAAGTTGACTGAAAGTCATTTTTTGACAATTCCACGTGTGCTCAATTTTTAAAAAGTTGTGCTTAAAATCAAATTCTATCATTATATTAAAGAATCTTGCTAGCTATTTACACATGACAAATCTCTTAAACCACGATATGCAATATAAATGCTCGGAACATTCCAAGGAAATGCAAGAATCAATTTTTCAGTCAACCAAGTTCTCTCAAAACAACTTAGAAGCTTCTAGAAACAACTTTTTAACTTAAATGCCTGGTGGTAGAACCTGAATCAGCAATACAGGAAGTTTGAAGTCAACAAGGATGGAACCTTAACTTCAGAAGAGTACTAAATGATTGAGAGATTGTAAGAGTGACTGAATTTTTCAATGTTCTGGAGGTTTTCAAAGGAACATCTGTAGCAGATGACTCTATCATCTGGAAAGGGAACAATGGCAAGTGTTTCTCAGTCAAGGGGGCTTACAAGCTTCTATGCAATCCTGGACAACAACAATGCTTCTAGCCTTGGAAACTTATCTGGAAAGTAAAAGTTCCTTTTAAAGTATCCTTTTTTACATGGCTAGTAGCCAAGAAGGCCTGTCTTACCAATGAGAATCTGCAAAGAAGAGGACTACTATTGAGCTCTGAATGTTTCCTATGCCAAGCAGAGCAAGAAGACAGGACTACTATTGAGCTCTAGATGTTTCCTATGCCAAGCGGAGCAAGAAGACAACAGCCACCTTTTTCTACATTGTGTTGTTACATCTCAGTTGTGGCAATTATTCCTTGCACTGGTGAATACAACTTGGGTTAAGCCCAGGACTACTTGTGATCTTTTGAGGTGCCAGGGAAGGAAGAAGAGATGGTGGAGGGCTATACCAGCATGCATTTGGTGGAATGTATGGAAGAAAAGAAATGATAGGTGTTTTGAAGATAGGAGGAGTTCTTTACAGAAAATTAAGCTCAACTGTATTTTGTCCTTTCATTTTTGGTGTAAAGTTTGCATAGATGAAACTGATACTTTATTAGAGTTGTTAGAGTCCTTGTAAGAAGAATCTTGGACAGATGTAAATATGTCTCTTCCTTTTTTTGTAATTGTGATTTCCAACACAAGCTTTGTGCTGATGAATATACTGTTACCTTTATAAAAAAAAAAACGTAAATGCCATTAATCATGTTTAACATTGAGCAACTTAGTGATAGCAAAATCTCCAGCAGAAAAAATAGATGCATTAACAGCTCTACCAATGAGTTTCCATATCCTCCTCTTCTCCTGATTTTCCATTATATCCCACACTACCACCGGAAGAAGAAGCAAACCCACTAGCGCCTTCGAATGATAACCAAATTCTTTGCTCTTGATAACTATCCATTCAGCATAACTTTTTGTGTCTATTCCCCATTTTCTCCTCAGCATTTCTCCTCTCCCGTCCATTATATGGTTAAATTAATACTCCTACCAATTTTCTAGCTGTGTTTCATTGTTCTCTATTCCAGTTAAAAGGAAAAGAATTTAAGAGCCTGCACTCCTATTAATTTTCTAAATGATAAAATGAGTTGATTTGTCAGATGGCATTATGTCATATGTTAGAATTTTGGCTTTTCGACTACACATTTATGTTAATAGAGAACCCAATATAGAAAAGATCACGTGAAATGATACTAATAGGTATAATCATGTCACCTCTTCTTTGGGCTCATCACTGTGGTGATTTTCTTTGTCCTCCTCAGAAGTGTAGGGAACCAAGCTTCCCATATAAACCTCACAGCCAGTACTTGGAAAGACTTGAGTATTAAGGATCCTTTTATCAAACCTTAATTCACCCTCTATTTTACTAGCCCAAATGAACATCTGACCATGATGGTCGAAAAGAATGTCATCTTTGTTTTCAGAATATGCTAGGGGGACTGGCAATGGCATTCTATATCCATATGAATCACCACGAGAAGCTTCTTCTGCCGCTTCTACTGCCATTATCATTTTCCAGGAGTCCTCAACTCCATATTCCTTCATTACCCATGTCTCCCTAACTTTTTTAAAAGGATGAAACAAAATAGCACAGAGAGTGCCTCCCAAAACCGTCAGAAACATTTTGGACGATTTTTCAATAGAGGGGGGAGCCTGTATAAGCTGGACATTCAGAGTGTCCATACCAAGATCAATTGCCACAATGACTCGGGGTTCATGTCTAGCCCGCATTGTTATTCGTTCATTCGGGTTCTTAAGACTAGATTCATAGTTCTTACAAGATTCAAAAGTGTGCTTCGCTGTCCAGTGTAGCTTTCCATTGAGATATGTACCTCTTCCCACGGGCTGAAACATAAGTTGCCCAATTGCTCTCCAGGTATTCTGTTTCAGACTGAACATCTCAACAGGACGAGGATAAGGCCCAATACGGACAACCTTATAATCGTTAAGCAGGAGATCATATCCAATGCCCATACAAAACCTATTCCCATTTTTTGATTCATGAAGGGGTATCTCCCTGTGATACCCTGTGGAAGGATTCCACAAGCTAAGATCACGGTTAGGGTTATTCAATGGCATGTCGTAGGAAATAGTGTTTGAAGAAGTGTTATTGGTCATCAACAAAAGCCCATGGCACGATCCAAGGATAGTTGTGACACAATCAGCAGATTTTACCGGATTTTTCAGCTCTCTTGGGGCAATTGATCCGGAGCAGAGGGAAGCTATAGATAAGGTATAAAATGACGTACCCGAATCACAATGTTTCCCCACAAGCACAAAAAGATTGGAACTGTTGATGAGCGAGTCTTTGAGGCTGAAGTTGCATTTTAATGACTCCTTGAGTTGAACTTTAGCAAACTCAGAACTGCCAATACGACTCTTAAAACCTCTGGAGACGCACATAAAACGTAAGAGCGAGTCTATAGGAAGTCTTCCTCAACAGTTTGCGAGATGGAGTCGGAGTCTGCCATTGCAGTGAGAGGTTGGGTTTAGTCTAAGCTAGGTTAGAAAAACACGCTTGGGTAAAAAAGGAAAAGAAAGCAGGAAGAATTGGTAAAAAAGACTTTTGAAAGAAAGTCTCACTTTATACTTATTAATTCCAAACTATTTACCTTTTAATACCATGACCAAACTATTTACTATTCCTTCCAGTCGGCCCAATTTATTTACCCGGCCCCTATATTTCATGCGGCCCAAGCTACCCATTGTCTTTAAAGCCTTATCTTCGTTCTTTACACTAGACTAAAGAATCCAGCCCACCTATTTCACCCGGTCCAAGCTTCCCACGCTTGTCTTCGTCCTTTAATGGTTAACACTAGACTAAGGAGAACAGTTTCCAAATCTCCATAGCCAACACATGAGAACGCAAATTTCACCCACATTCGAGTTTTTAATTTTTTCTTTGGATTCCTTTCTTCGTCTAGTACCTATTTTTGGGTGAAATTTTTGCTTTGGGTGAAATTTTTGCTTCTGAAAGTACATTTTAGTGAAAGTGAGTTTTCAAAATCATAGAATTTTTGTGTTTTTTTTTGTACTTTTGTGAATCAATGTCTATGGGTTGTTATTTTCTCTATGGGTCGGAAGCATTATGCGCATAGATGGTGGCGCCGTGCACAATATCATTCTTCAACACAAGTACCTGTTGAATCTGTTGCCTCAGCCATGTCTGGTCCTAGTTTTTCCTTATTTTCTGATTCTCAGTCTCTATTTAGTCGTAACCCTAGCAGTAGTCATGTTGAAAACACAACTGAAAATGTAGAATTAGAGGGTGGAAAAGGCAACAATACTAATGCTTCGTCAGTCGATGAAACTCCCTACCAGTCATTACTCGACACAAATTCCGAACCAATCATAGGAGGTGTTCCTGTGACTGATAAGGGAAAGGGTAAAGTTGTTGAAGATTCTGAGTTAAGGGGGAAGCTGACGTGAATCCGTGCCTAAAACAGAGACTCAACCAGTAGATGTTGATTGTAGCGATGATTCTCAGTTAAAGAAGAAAAAAATTGGTGTCGCACCCAAAAAGGTTATTTTCTTACAATTATGATATGTGAGATTTTGAATGTATAGTACATTGTTATTTTTTGATTTCCTGTTATGCTTTTGTATTATATTATAGTTATAGTCAGTTGTGTTAATTTTAAGTGAATTCTATTTCTTAAATAATTTATAAATCATGTTTTGCATTATTGAGATTCCCTTGTGCCTATAGACATAGTGTATGTGTGTTATGTGATAGTTTTTATACTTATAGACAGTTGTTGGAACAACACCGTATACTATTTACCCTGTAGTATAGCTATATACTATCATATGCTTCTGGTATCCTTTTTTGGCTTGTCTTCGTCTATTTGTTTTTCCTTTAATAATAGTAGTATCGTACAGTATCTTGAAAATACTTTATAGCTACATACCTTTTTGCTTTTTCTCTTTATTACTATCTATTATGTAATAGTAGTATAGTCATTTATAGTTGCCACAGTAGAATTGTATACCCCGCTGGTATAGTTATATGTCCTATTGGTATCGTATGGTAGTTGTAATATTTTTAATTGGTTTAGTTGCATTTTTAAGTGAATTCTATTTCTGAAATTATTTTATATGAACATGTTTTGTAGTGTTGGGATTTCCTTGTGCCTATGGACTTAGATTATAAACCAAAGGTTGATTGGGATACCAACTGCCATGTTATTCATCAATTGAAAGCAAATTTATCAAAGAGGCAACTTCGACTGTTTAAGAAAACATGCTTTGGCTATTTTTTGAATCTACCACTAGTTATTGTGCAGATTCGGGTTATGCACCATTTGCTTATTAGATAAGTACATCATGAGATGAAAAATGAGATGCGGTTTGTAGTGAATGATTCTAGGTTGCGCTTTGGTTTGGGTGAATTTGCACTTGTTACTGGGTTGAAATGTAAGGGTGATACAAGTATAGAGAGCATAGCAGAGAATAGGTTGATTTCAAAATATTTTGGGACTGCATCCGTGACATTGGCCCAACTAGCAGACTGTTTTAAGAAGAAGAAATAGGAAACAGATGATGATGCGTTGAAGATAGCAGTTCTTTATTTTGTGAACAACTTCTTACTTTCTCCACTCAAAATAAAGGTTATTTCACGGTCTTACATTGACTTGCTTGAGTGCGGTGATTTTAATAATTATCCCTGGGGTATAGATGTTTATAACGCTACAATTGACTCGTGTTCCAACAAGTTTCAAGATAAGCCTTCTTTTTATAGACTCGGTGGCTTCCCGTTGGCTTTACAGATTTTGTTGTATGAATGCTGCCCAAGTTTGGATGGTCACTTTGCTGATCATATTGGAAACAAACTTCCACGAATTTTGAATTTGGGTAGTTATGGGTCAAATACCGAATGAGCGAGTTGCTTTGTGAATGTCTAGCTTGCAACGCGAGCAGGTAATTTTCTCATAGTTTTATTGCCTCTCTTAATGTTTTGGTACAATAGTTTAGTCACAGTTGTAGCAATATCCCAGTTCAATGATATACTCTGTTGGTATACATGTATACTATATTGATATCATATGGTAATAGGGATCTTTTATCTTTCCATACTTTATTATCATTTCTATTTCTAACTAGTGTGCTTAATAATTGCAGCTAAAGAACATCACTCCAACTGATGATGAGAAGCAACTATTTGATGTGCGTGGTCTAAACTTTGAAATTGAAGTTGAGTGCGGTGACAGTCAGCCCGATAGCTTTCAGGTTTTTGGCACTCAATTACCAAAGACACAAAGTATGCATGAAAGTACTGGAGTGATTCCTAACCTACCAATGTGAGGTAATGAAGGAGTTACAAGGTTTGAAGCTTTTTGTAGAGACCAAGTTTGAGGAGGTGCNGGGAACTCGGGTGAGGCGATTTTTCGAGAGATTTTCAAGAAAACATCGGGGTAAGTGTTCTTAACTCAATTTTGGTTAGATTACCCGAATTCATTGTTATTTTTAACATGTAATTGGTGATTTTAAGTTGGAAAAGTTTGAAAACCCTCTTGGATATATTTGAGGATTTGAGGGTCGAAATATTATCGGAAATTAGTAATTTTGGTATGGTTAGACTCGTGGTTGAATGGGTTGTCGGATTTTGTGAGTTGCATCAGATTTTGAGAAGTGGGCCCGGGGCTCGGGTTTTGCCAATTTCGGGATTTTTGATATTTTTCGATTGTTTTCACTTGGGCTTTGTTCCCTTAGCATATTGTGACGTATTCGTTCTGGTTTTGGTCAGATTCGACGTGCGAGGAGGCCGATTTGAGAGACAAGGGCATAGCGAGCTAGAACTTTGGCCGGTTTGAGGTGAATAATGATTGTAAATGATATCCTGAGGGTTTGAAACCCCGTATTTGCACATCGTAGTGCTAATTGAGGTGACTTGCACGCCGGATAGCGAGCGTGGGGTAGAGCACCGTTGGGGATTGTGACTTGGTCCGTTCCGATTGATGAATTTATTGCGTATTTGACTGAAGTTTACTTGTTATCATCATAATTTGGGCTGATTGCCATATTTGGGTTTCGTGCCAACTATTTGAACCCTTCGGGGATTGTTGTTGATATTTCCTCACTGTTTTGATTTTATACCTGAACTCAGTCATGTATTTTCTACTGTTTTTAAGACTCAGCCAAGTTTATTTTGCTTTAACACTTGAAATGATATTTCCAATAATATTTGGGCTGAGCATCATGTTTTACTGTTGCCCTAGTGGCTTATGTGATTTTTGACTGAGTAAGGCCGAGGGCCTGTATTGTGAGGATACTTTTGGATCGGGCTGCACGCCGCAGCAGTGAGATACTGATTTGATATGAGGCCGAGGGCCTAGATTTGATGCCACGAAATGGCTTGATATTGCGCTTGGGCCGTAAGGGGCCCCTCCCGGAGTCTGCACACCTCCAGTGAGCGCCGTCGACGATAAATGGATTGGGCTGCACGCCGCAGCGATATATGGATCGGGCTGCACGCCGCAGCGGTACTGGTACTGTTCTATGTGTTTACTTTATTTCATTTGTCTGCCATTATTTGTTGTCTGTGTTATTTCATGCAATACCTACCTGATTGCCTAGCATTATCTGAAAACTAAGTGTTGTGCCCGAGGGGCGAATTCTGTGCTTATCTGCACTATTGTTTGCATTCAATTGCACCGCTGAAAAAGTTATTTCCAAAAGAGGTTTAAACTGAGCCAAGATGTTTTCTAAGGATTTCACAGCTTCACTGTTTTCTAAAAGGGGTTTACACTGCTCTATACAGCATGACGGTTTATTTTACGTGATTTCTTACTGCTCAGTTATTATTTACCTTTATTACTCATTGAGTTGGAGTACTCACTTTACTCCCTGCACCTCGTGTGCAGATGCGGGTATTTATTCACCCGGTAGCGGATTTTGGCCGATTGGAGGCAGAGCTATAGGAGTTTAGCGAGGTGACTGTCAGCGTTCGCAGCACCGCTTCTCTCTCTGTTGTTCATTATTCCTGTTCAGTGTATTTTTAGACCTTGTAGTTGTATTTACACTCTTATAGATGCTCCTGACTTGTGACACCCCGATTAGGGTTGTGTTGGGTTGTACTTCCGCTAATTAATATTATTAAATCATATTTAGACTGCTTATTCATGTTTAACTATTTTTTTGAAAAGGCGATATGGGTTAGTAGGCTGGCCTTGTCTTCACGAGAGGCGCCATCACGACCAGAGCGGGGATTTGGATCGTGACAGCAACACATGTTCTTCAAATGTCCAATTACCTCTAAGGTTTGACAACATATTCTCCGATGGCAGGTAATTAAACGACGGGCTATGGGATGACAGGAAGAAATTGAGTGGGTGCAAACACATGCATATGTCAACAATGTAAAAGTGCAATTTATACTTGGCCGGAAAGGAAGAACAAAATCTTCCAACAATGAATCAGACCCGCAACAACTGTGGTGAGACAGATTATTCAAGAGATACATTGCAAAGGTGGAAAGAGGACGAGTTGGTAATGCAGTTGAAGAAGCTTGATTACTGACCTAGATAAGTTGTAG